AACAACAACAGAAATAATTGAGTCAAAGAAAGAAACATAGGAACGAGGCCACACGGGGCCTCAGGGGACTTGTGGATTTTGCTCTCCTTTTTTTCAATCTTGCAATTCTGCTGGAATCCACGATCATTGCATGAGTCTTTGTCATTTCTGTTAGAAGTAAGACATCAACCTCCCTGCCTTAAAAAAGAAATCATTTTATTGGGGACTCTGACAACTCTTATAACATTCCACACATCCATTGTATCAAGCATATTTGTACATAGGTTACCTTCATCATTTCTAAAACATTTTCTACTTGAGCCCTTGGTATCAGCTCCTCTTTTTCCCCTTCCCTTCCCTCCCACAATCTCCCTGCCTTTGAAGGACAGAACTGGCCAACAGTTTCTATAGAGCTGGGTGAGTGAGGCGGTGGGTGGGCAGGGGAATGTGGACAAGCCCCTCAAGCCAAGAGAACCCTGGGTACCAGATGGCCTGTCTAAACCCAACTGCATGAAATGTTGGTTCTACCAGGAGATCCCTCCACCAAGATGGTCAGCTTTCTCATGAGCTCAGCTTTATGCCTAAATCTGCCTTTACCTATCAGCACACCCCCTTAACCTGTGGCCCAAAGAGGCAAGTTTTGTCAGGGGAGATCCTCTCCCCTTGAAGAGTCTTAAGAACTCATTGCAATCCAGTCCATGAGGTGCCCTGGGGACATGGTGAGCTATACTGCTCCCTGCAAGGTCGGCTGTTCAAACCCACCAGTTGCTTCTTGGGAGAAAAATGAGGCTGTCTAATCCCATAAAGATTTACAGGCTCGGAAACCCACAGGGTCCACTCTACCCTGTCCTTTGGGGTCGCTGGGAGCTGGAGTGGACTTCAGGGTGGGGAGGTTGGTTCTTTTTGTTTGGGTACTTGGATAGCATGAGCTACAAGATCATGTTATAGCTGATGGGTGCTGTGGAGGCCACTCTGGACCCCACGTGACAGAGGTAACTGCCCCAGAGGGTTTCCGGGCTGTCATCTTTGTGGGAGGAGACGTCTAAGTCATTCTCCCAAAGAGCAGCTGGGGGGCGGAGGCTGTTAGAGCTTCCATTCTGAGCACCAGGTTTGCTTCTGGAAGCAGCAGTCAAGAGATCAAATGACAGCATGCACAAGGCCTCTTCAGAGCGTTGAAAAGCCAGGAGGTCACTTTGAGGACTAAGGTGCACTTGGCCCAGGCCATGGTATTTTCAGTGGCCTCCTCTGTACGTGAAAGTTGGACAGTGAATGAGAAAGATCAAAGAACAATTGATGCATTTGAACTACGGTGCTGGAGGAGGCGATTGGAAGTACATACTAGGTGGAGCCAAAAGAAGAAACAAATCTGTGTTGGAAGAAGTCAGGCCAGAGTGCTCCTTCAGAGGCAAGGGAGGAGCAACTTCATCTCAAGCACTTTGGACACGTGGTCAGGAGAGACCAGTCCCTGGAGGAGGGCATCCTGCTTGGCAAAGCAGAGGGGCAGCAAAAAGGAGGAAGGCCCTGGGCATGATAAATTGGCACAGTGGCTGCCACAATGGGCTTACGCATAAGAACCACTGCAAGGCTGGCGCGGGACCGGGAAGCGTTTCATCCTGTTGTGCATTGGGGCACCTGAGTCGGAAATCGCTCCAGGGCACCTAACAACAATGGTTTGTGGTGGGCTCCTGAATGCATTGTTGAGTGTGCACAGAGACCCCACCTCCGCTGAGTTCTTTCTGATGAGTAGCCGGCCCTGGTGGAGCTCTCAGTCAAGCATTGGGTTGCTTCCTCGTAAGGTCGGTGGTTAGAACCCACCGGCCGCTCCTCAGGAGAAAGATGAGGCTTTCTACTCCTGTAAAGAGTTACAGTCTTGGAAACCCACAGGGGCAGTTCTACCCTGCCCTCTAGGGTGACCATGAGCCAGAACTGACCGGTGGCAGTGGGTTGGATCCAGTTGGACATAGATTTGGCCTCCGTTAGGTTATTTCTGACCAGTCACTTGCCCTGGTGGTACTGTAGGATCAGCACGGGACTGCTCCTCGTGAGGCTGGCTGTTCAAACCCCCCAGCCACTCAGCAGGAGAAGGATGAGGCTGTCTGCCTCATCTGTAAAGAACAACAGCCACTGAAAAATAATAATAATTTATAAATTATCAAGGGTTCATGAGGGAAGGAGTGGGGGGAATGAGGAGCTGATACCAAGGGCTCAAGTAGAAAGAAAATGTTTTGAAAATGATGATGGCCACATGTGCTTGACATGGATGGACGGATGGATTGTGATAAGAGCTGTATCAGCCCCCAATAAAATGATTAAAAACAAAAAAGAATGACAGTCAGGAAGGGGAGGGGCATTGGGGAGCGGTCAATGGGAGTGGAAGTCGGGAGGGAGCATTACAACTGACTGTGATGATGTGTATGCAAGTGTTTTTTTAAAAACAATTTAAATATTAATGATGGCAACATATGTACACGTATGCTTGATACAATTGATAGACGGATTACTATGAGAGCTGTAAGAGCCCCCAATAAAATGATCCTTAAAATAAATAAATAAATAAAAGCGATCTAACGATGGCAATGTGTGATATGTGACGATCATGTGGAAAAAACTACTAAAAAGAAGAAACCAAATGACAATGGTGACCATGGACGAAGGGGAAGAGTTTTGGCTTAGAGGGCATTGAGCTTTATGTTAACAGTGGCAGAATAATTTGGAAAAGGACATCAACAATGGTTATAGGACACAAAGAGTATAATCAGTGGGGCTGAATTACACACGTGGAAGTTGAATTGGAGTGGGGGAGGTGGGGAAGGGAGGTGATAAAGGGAAGCTGATATCAGAGAGGTCAAGAAAAAAGAAAATGTTTTGAGAATACTGGTGGCAGTAATTGTATAATTATGCTTGATCTAATTGAATTATGGATTGTG